ACAATTTATGAACTGGCTGATAAAGATAGAAACAAAATTAAAGACAAAGAAAAAATATTCGAAATAACAGAAAACTTCTAGAGGAATCTGTGGCAATCCAAATATACTGGGAATCCCCACGCCCAGCAGAAATTTCTGGAAAATATGTCGAAAACTAAATTAACTGGAGTCAAAATGAGGATCTTAAATCCCCTATTACCGAAAACGAAATTTGGAATATTATTAGAACCATGGAAAATAATAAGTCACCTGGCATCAATGGTCTGCCCAAAGAATTTTTTCATAAGTTTCTGGTCTCTTTTCAAAAAGGAAATGGTACAATTGATAAATAATATTTTTATTTCTGGTATCTTCCCGAAGAGCTGTAAATTAGCAAAAGTCCGACTGATCCTTAAAAAAGATGAAAAAGAAAATCTGAAAACTGGCGCCCCATCTCTATTCTCAACACTGACTATAAAATTATAACAAAACTTTTAGCAAACAGACTGCAGGAAATCTCAAGTCAAAATCGACCCCGCTCAAAAATGCACTATACCCGGAAGAAGCATCTTCGACGCCCACTATAATTTGAATTCTAAAATTAGTCTCAGCGAAAAAATAATTCCCCTGCATTTATAATGTCAATTGACAGTTTAAAAGCTTTCGATCTGGTAATCCACGATTTTATTTTCCAAATTCTCGAAGAAATCAACATGGACCGACAAATTATATCCCTAATAAAAAGTATGTATACAGACATACACAGCATAATAGATTTAAACGGACAACTATCACGCGCAATAAAATTAAATCGAGGAATAAGACAGGGGTGGCCCATGAGCATGTTGCTCTACTGTTTTAACGCAGAACCTTTTACTAGACAAATCAATAGGAATAAATCAATTGAAGGAATCAAACTGGGGAAAACAAAAAATAGATCAGTATGCTGACGATATTACGTTTACAGTCCGTGATAAAACCTTATTGAACACATTTTTAACGAATTGGACAATTATAAAACAGCTACAGGTCAAAAAATCAATATTCACAAAACGAAAATCCTATGTACAACTGACAAGGCCAAAATTCTCTTTCAAGGAACTCCATATCATGATTATATAAAAGACTCAGTAAAATTACTTGGATTATATTTTGGCAAACACGAGACAAATTTAACATGGGAAAGTAAAAAGACAAAAATCACCCAAATTTTTAACCTATCGAAAACAAGGGACTTAAGTTGGAACGGAAAACTAGTCATTATCAACTCAATGGCCACGCAACATATTCTATTTCCGGCGAGAATCATCATCATGGATGCACAACGCATAAAAGAGTTTAGTAAATTATTTTATAACTTCCTATGGTATCCGGAGACATTTGAAGCGATCTCGAGGAAAAAACTACAAAGACCAAAGGAGAAAGGAGGCTTTTCTATGATAAACATAACCGCAAAAATTTTGGCCTGCAGATTAGAAAAAATTCTGGGCATATATGCCAAAATTGAACTGCTTTACTGGGTAGCACCACCTGGCCTTGTACTCAAAGATGACGGCCATTAGTGAGGATCTACTGACTCGCCGTGGCTAGGTAAAACACTACCTAGTCATTGTTCGAATCCTGTGCCGCTTGCGGGGCCGGTGCGAGTGGAAGTAGACCACTATATTTTATCCTAAAACTTGTAGTACCATCTAAAACTGAAATGATGAATGGAAGTATTTCCACAACATGTGGTAAATCTGAAACCCCTTCAAAGGGTAGTGAACTCAACTTCCGTCGACATCTACTGGGCATGAAGGCATTGGGCTGGATTCCAGTGATGTCGTTCTGATCCGAAAAAAAAGTGAATGAGTTATTTTGTTTGTTTCGTTGTTTCCCGCTAACATTGTTAGCGAACGTATCACATGTAAAATCAATTCTAATCGGTCCTGTTCCGACGTTGAGTGTAACACTGAACAACGTCTTTTTGACGTTGTTATCTACAGAAAAGCATGCTTGCGCGAATAAGTAAATTTTCAATACTTAAAAACGGCAGACTACTTTAATATTCTTTATTTTTTTTGCTGTACATAAAAAATCTAAATTCGGATCATTCGTATCGTTAGCGTACATTCCTTTCTATTTTTCCTTTCCTTTCTATTTAGACAGAGAATATGCACATGAACTCTCGAAGACAATATGGTCAACGAAGACAGCTGGGATGGCTTTAAATGTAGGCCTACCGTGTTTCCCCGAAAATAAGACAGTGTCTTCAATTTTCTTTAGAAAAATAACACTAGGGCTTATTTTGGGGGGATGTCTTATGTTTTTTTATTTAGAGAATTACGAGATTTTCAAATAAACAAAATATGAAAACCAATATTAATTTACCGTACTCATAAATAGCACGTGGACCTCCTGAAGTATGCGCACCAAGATGGCGCACAATCTGAACTCATGTTGTGTACCAGGTCAGGGTTCAGGTTTTGCGACATCTTGGTGCGCATACTTCAGGAGTACCTAACACGTTTTTTTTAAAATAACTACTAAACATAGGATATTAATCCTTTAAAACGAGTAGGAACAATGTCTTGCTATCGACTAGGTAAAAAAATTGCTCTAGGTCTTAGGTAGGGCTTATATTAAAATCATTTTAAAACTTCAGGCTAGGTCTTATTTTCGGGGTAGGTCTTATTTTCCTGGAAACACGGTATGTAGTAAATCGGAAACTGTAAAGTTACAGGATCACAGCTAAGGGGTCGTGTCTTTGGGGCGTCCCGCTTTGAAGTCAAAAAATATGGTAACCCTACTCCCACGTCTAGTTAATAACCTGTTTGAATTCGTCGGCTTTCTTTTCAAACTCATGTTTATAACGTAACAACACCAAATTCAATCTTTGATCACTCTCCGAATGCGACGCGGGTCACAGATGATAAATCGTCACGCTAATAACCAAATTGCGTAAGTCATTTTTGCGATTTCGAGTTTTTTTTATAAAATAGGTATTTATGTAATGCTGCGCACCTGTCTGTTAACTCAGATTTTATTTTAAGAATTCCGAAGCCCATAAAAATGGAGATTTAGTACGACATGCACATTTGTGTAATTGTTTCGTCATAATGAATTATCATTGTTATCACCGGACTATTGTGACGTCACAAATGCAAAATATCCTCGTCGAAGTATTTTCAAGTTTTTGCTTCTCGGATTCCAGCTTAGCGCGTATAAATTTTTAATTTATACTACAGTATATGAAGACGATCACTTGTGATATTTACTGTCCGAGTCCAATTCACCTTGGTTGGCTTTTATATTGGGTGGATTGCTGTTTTATTCTTTATATTTAATCTTAGTTTTATTTCGGTGGGTGTGCAGAACGTGTTATATTGATGAAATATATATTTTTAAACATAATGAATTTGAATGTATTTGAAACTGATTAGCTATTTTGGGTATTAGATATTGCAGATACTGAAAATTACATTCGTTTTTGGAATGTTTAGTTTTCAGGACTGGTGCATATAGTAGTAAAGTTGCAAAATTGCGTATGTCCCCAAGTCATAGACACATTTCTGCCTAAGTCACAGTGCGCCATTATGACGTCACTCAACTGCGTCATACAAATTAACTTAAATCCGGCTACGATCAAAAAATTGAACCATGGCAAATTATTGACTCTCAATGGCATAACAATATCATTAGAAAGTTTTTTACGTTTTTCTCAAAACTGCTAAAAATGACTTACGCAATTCGGTTATCAGCGTGACGAAATGATCAATCAGACGGGGTGAACACGCAGTCACTATGTAGTCTTCCAGAGTTGAATTCAAGTATGTTGTCTTGAGATGAAAGTTAAACAATCTTGCGAACATGCGTTAAGTCGTTGTTGTTGTTGTAACTGCTATCCGTTGCAGTGGACACTATTAGTGTATGTGCTCGGTCATATTTTTGCTATAATTTCTTTTACTTGTTAATAAATGCCACCGACCTGGCTTTGAGAATATTATCAAAGTCAAATTGTTCTTCTTTAACGTATCGAGAAGAAAGCATTGAAATATTTAGTTTCAAAACAATTTTATCTTTGTCTGTTTTTGCTGCCCACGGCACAAGTGGTACATTCAGAGATTGACAAAATCGTGCCGATCGTAGACAATCGTTATTTGTTATACATGGAAGTAATTCAGAAATCCAATACGATTGTCGAAATTGCTCGATTTGTTGTGAACATGTTCAATCCTCTGCAGGAACGTTCACAATAATTACCTTCCTATTTATCTAATATTGATATAAGAATCAGGCCATGCAAGAACAAATGTACCATTTTGTGTTGCATTATAGCAATAGCATTTGTACCAGTTTGATTCAACTTAGTCGCATTTGTAGAAGAAAAATGCTATATTTGACTTGCACTGTAACTTTGCTTAATAATATACTATTTGATGAAAATATTACTATAGTGCAACATTCATGTGCTCTTTATATCTCCAACGCTTCGACAATCTGAAGCGGTTGGTTTTGCGTTGTGATTCTAATATGCTTAGTTTATTTATTATTTAAATGAAGCTAAGTGTGCGTTGTTAGATTATTCCGATATATCGCTATTGCGTTAGTTAGCACGTATATGCCGCAGTGCGTATACAAGAAAGATTGCAAAAAAGAGTCATTGTGATCTTGGCTTACGTTTGTATTGTCAATGTCAAAGGCTTACAATAAGTTACCTAAGCAGAAATCGATTTATAGGTTGTGAAACGCACCTTTTCATTCACGCAAATGGAGTCTTAGTACAATTAGCGCAATTGTTTTTAGGGTGCTCCATAAGTATGCGCACCAAGATGTCGTACAACCTGAATCCTAACCGGTAAACATACTATGTTCAGGTTGTGCGCCATCTTGGTGCACATACTTCTGGAGGTCCGTTTTAAGCCTCTCTTCATAGCGCGACGATTTTTCAAAATTTACAATCGGCCCCTTTTTAAGCGCCTTCTTTACCTTCTTAACAGGCTTTTAATAGAAAGAACACACAAAATCAATATAACTTTGTTTATTCTATGTTATATTTTTACTGATTAGCCTGTATCAACTATTGTCCTTTACAATTATAAATCTTCGTTAGTCAATTGTTGATTCTGGATTGCTAACAGGCTTTACATGTCTTTAAACCGGTTGCAATACCTGTAATAATGCCCACCATTCTTGTGGCCCTGGAAAAAACAATGAAACGATTTCGTATGAGAAAATGAAAAACAGCAAGCAGCATTGGATGGTCTCAATAAAAATGGTCTGTAGTTTACTGAGTCAAAGTTGAGAGAGTGATCGTTAAATTTTTGAGCGTGTTTGAGTTAATGTTACATACTCACTTGGTCACTCATGTAACTACACATTTCTTCGCTTCTACCACCAGTTCTTGTATTGATATCAAAGCAGCAAGCAGTATATGCTTCATGGCAATGGTGAGGTCCACATGCTCCAAAACTGAAATATAAATGCCGGTAGGTGAATAAACAAAATGTAAATACCCAGTAATTCACTGGAAGTATTTCGAAAACGCACTTTCTACACAGAACAAAAAAACTGTGTAGATGCCTAACGTACATTTGAATATTGCCTATAAAACTAATTGATGGCATCCTTATAAGATGCCTAAAATCAATACTGGGCATCAGTATTACGTAAAGTTGTTTGTGCTATTTTCTATATCATTTCTTGCCATCAATAAATTGGTGATATGTTAATATATACTTACACTGGAACCGCACTGAGACAGCAAATAAGGCAATGAACAACAGAATCTTCATGATCAGTTTTTTTCTTGTTATTTTCAACGAAAATATTTAAAACAGCTCTGAGTGTAAAACAAAGTACAGAGAATAATGAACCGGAGAATATTGCTTTTATCGTTAGTGAGTTAGTGGGCTAGTGGCATAGCGGTCGTAAGAAAGTTGCAGTGTGTAATCTCCTATATCACTTTTACAAGTATCAAATAAAATTTGTCTACCATATCATGATTTTTTGGTTTCTGCGAGACTAACTACTTATCCTTCTTCTATGCTTTTGTGCCGGTGGATCCGTATGCATATATTGCAAGGATGCTGTAGCAAGAGTAATTTCTAAATCGCAAATCGTAACATTTTGCGCATGGCCTTCCTGACTTCAAGTCATTTACATTGTCGCAATTCATCTATTCGTTAGCGAGCGCTATGCAAATGTGTGTGTATATTTCCACTCATTATATATATATATATATATACCGTTTGGAAATATATTCTTTTTTTTTCATGTTCAACGCTGACGTGATGGAATTTTGCTTTTTAACATTAGCATGTGATATACATGGAAAATATTAAAAAAAACGACCTAACCATTTCGTGGTCCTTAGTTTTCTGAGAGCAAGTCATATTATTTTATAGCAAATTGTGGGTTCGACTGATATTCCTAGAAAATTTCGAGCTTTGTCGGGTAGGAATGGAAATGCATGTCACGCGACATGCACAAACAAGATCAAAAATATCCAGTGATTTAGTGGTCGAATATCATCATTTAGGCTACATATGACTACAGTTCGAGGTCTTCAAGACAAAACGCGAATGTGAAATCTTGAAGGAAATTTTATTTGAAAATATTGTATAGGAGAAAATTCTTTTTGAGCTCTTATCTGATCATAGTTAGAAGTCAATATTCATTATGATGTTCACAAATAAATTACGAATTTTAAAAATTAAAAATACGTTTTTTCCCATTTTATCAAAACAACTTTTCCAAGTTCCGCCTATTTGGGGGCAAAATTTAATAACCATAATTTGAAATCAATAGTAATAAGGTTTACCTTTATATTGTCTATCTCAATGATGAATTTTAAAAGAAATAAAAATGTTATGTATTGGCGAGCTGAAGCGCATATGAATGAGTATCATGTACTAGTGAAACATCTAGTTCAGTTAATTTTAAATTTCATCGAAAAGAAAGCAGTTTTTAGTCTAATCAACTATTATATCTAATTTAAATATATATGTTTCTATATATCTATCTATCAGAAATTACAATTTCTCTGGTAGATAAGCGGTCCCCAAACTGTTAGTTCGTGTGGCGTTAAATTATCAGGAAAAAAATTATGACAAACTTATAAGCAAAAAAATTCGGCACGCAATTAGTTGGATTTTAAGGCATTAGAAATTGTCATAAAACTCCATGAATGTTGCAATTTGTGTGATTTCGCGCCTCCTGAGTGGTCATATGCCTATTGTGCATTCTAACAGTTATTCTATGATTAAAAGTTTACAGGAACAAGGTAAAAGTATGATAGACAGGTAATGTCCAGGACGCTTATGCAGAATTTTATTACGTATATGTCTAGTAAAGACGATTGGAGAGCAACTGCATAAATCTTTGATTTTTTTTAGTTTATTATATGCATGTTACCAACATGCTCTACAGTCTACATACCCGTTTGAAGTTCGGGGAATCAAAGAATAGGTTGTTTCGATATTTCGACTGGAATAAAATTCGGGAGGCATTTAACGAGCGGTACCGTGACCTCTTACACTCTGTATAATTAATTTCAAGCAGTGGCACATCCTGGATTTTTCAACAAATAAAAGCGGTTACGGTGTCTGGATCATGAATTCGTACAAAATAATAAAAATTGCTACTTAGAACATGCGTAACGTGTCTGTTTCGCAAGACATAACCATTGCGCGCGCCTGAGGGTGCACGATTCAAACATTAAGCGGTACCGGACGATTTTTTAATATATATATAATATATTTAATATTCTATTTAATTTAGTATATACTTCTCTCATTTCTATCATTGTGTGAATATGCATGTAAACGCAAGAAACTGGGTTGTACGTGGGGTTGTTTGATAAGAACAGCGACAAATACAAGACTAAGTTTGTAATTTGAGATTAACGAATTGTAAAATATTGCAAATATATTTTGCGTAATTTCAAACTTTCGGTTATAAAACGACCGTCGATACGTCTATAGTCAGGAGTAAAGATGAGTAATCTGAAAACATTTTTTTCTAAGTTGACCAACAAACACCGTCATAAATACAATTCCTAGAGATATGCTAACACCAAACGAAGTATCTACCATACACATTTTTCACTAAGTCATTTTGTAAATCAAAATGGTTATGGTCGGATTGTCTGTAATCTCTTGTTTGTCGGGTAGTTACATTCCACATTCACTTCAGCAGAGACTATTTTTCGTTGACTTGTTTTCTCGGTGTCGTATGGCAATGCCGACTGCGTTTAGACGGGATACAGATACACAGATTGCTCTTGTTTATAAGACAACATTATAGAAGATCGTCACCACCGACATTTTGCATCAGCCTCCCAGATAAAATAGAATCCAGGTCATTTGGAACATAACTTTTTGCGGAAGTGTCAATTGAGAAATTTGTGGGTTCTTTTTGGGTGTCACTCTGTATATAAATATAACAAGGGAGCAATGCTCAAATACATGGATACGAAAGTAAAAACGAAATATTTTACCCACAATTTCCCAATAATCATATCCTGGCCGAAGCCGAACCTGTTGACCACCGTAACTCATTAGTAGGGCCTACCGGTCCCGGACAGCTCTAGCTTTACAATGATGATTCATGCGTCTTGTGCCAACGTGAATTGAAATGTTACATGAATCGACTCACTGTAGTATTGATTATTTTAAAGTACTTCACCTTTTTCGCGTCTTGTCAAATCGGAAACAGCCGTTACGCTTGGCAAAACAAAAACCTTTTTTCCACGAAAAAAAAAATTAGCAAAGTTTTGGATGAAATATCAGATCTCATAGTATTCATAGAGAATTTAGGAATAAATAAAAGTGATATCCATCGAACGAAAAATATAATGTTTAACCATTGAAAATTTCAAAGCAATTGGTTCATTAGTGAATGAGAAAAGCGATTTTTTTCATAACGAGAAAATACCAACAAGAACAACAAATAACAGCAAAACAATTCATAGGTCCACTTCGTGTCCACTAATCATATCTCTTAGAAAGTACTTCGATAGATAGAAAGTTCAAAACTCCATAATGAACAAAAATGTGTAGCGAGCAAAACCATTAAAAAATTTGAAACATGATAAATATCATGTACCCGCTCACCAGCACACACTCACAAAAATTACAAAACCTTGTTAGGCTTGGCCCAGAAATAAACACGACTGAATGTATTGAACTTTCGGATTGTTGTAATTTTTAAGTTCCTAAGCTAATGAGGACCAATTGAATCTGATACAAAGATAACGTGGGGAATGCAATGTGATAAAGGGTATAGTCAGTGGTGGAATTCAAATTTTTTGTCAGCCGCTTTTATCACAGAAGTCATATTTTTCAACCGGTTCTGTTACAAAAAATCATATTTTTTTAGCAAATAAACTGATTATTTTTTATTACTTCCTAATTAACATTTCAAAATAATGAATAAGTAAGCATGATGATGTTGATGATTGTCTATATTGCTGTATATTATATATATACTCGTTGATAATGAACTCGGAAACCTGAAGGTGTATGATCTACTGAAAACAATGCTTGAAGTTGATATTCTATAAAAATGCTGTTATTCTATAAAAAAAATAAACACAAGAAATATTTATCAAAAAAAAAGAAAGTTTACCGAAATTAAACTCAAATTTTGCAGTCATCTCATGACTTGTACTTATGATGCAGCAATTCAATTATCAGACAAACAATCACAAAAAGAAAATTACTACAATTATAAAAATCAACACATTGTATAACTGTACGTGCAAACTTGGATCATTTAACATTTTAAAAAAAACGTGAGCTACTTGATCTCAAAAATCTGTGTGTCAGATAACATGCAAAAATCTATTCACAGTAACCAGTAATGCTAACCGGTTCGCTGATCTCATAAAATTTTGTTAGACGGTTCTATAGAACCGGTGCGAACCGGCTGAATCACACCACTGGGTATAGTTAAATGTAGTAACATATATTTACGGGTAAATATGAGAAAAACTACAAAAGTGTGTCGTAATTAATTGTTTCCATCTTTGTTTTGATAGCGACCGAACATAACGGAAAGTTTTTGCATTTCTTGCAATTTACAGCGTATTAATAGCTCTTATATTATTTAGTATCTATCGCGGATTTTATCGTTATCCCGGCGCCGTTGATGACAATATTGTTCAGTTTAAGTTGGCGATATTTATTAATAATCGAAAATAAAAGCATAACAGTCGACACGGAAGATTTAAATCAGCGCAGACTCAAAATCAAACACGATTTTCGGTCTTAGTTCTTCGTCGTCATTGGCTGATGAAAATTTGGGAATCGGGTTTACTCATTTGATTATATCAGCGTTTCCCAAACTGTGTTCTGCGGAACACTAGTGTTTCGCGAGCGTCTTCCAAGTGTTCCGTCAAACATGGGTCGAAATTGCGACTAAATTGGTCGCCATGGCGATCTCAGGATCTTAAAGTTTTGCCCAACTGGCAACTGTTCAATATCGCGTCACCGTCGGCCTAAAGCGGTCTAACGTTTTGATGGTTGTGGTCTTTTCGCTACTCGTCGGCCTATTTTTATGACTGTCAGGTACTTTATCAAGTTTACTGCTATCTTCTTGGTTTTGCTATGGGCTAAAATTTTAAATCTCAATGCTGCGATGGATCTTTGGCTTAAAACGGGAAGCCTCAAAAGATGTGAAAAGCCACCTAGGTAAAGCTAGCGGACACTTCCAGCAGACAGTTACCAATTTTTCCAAATTTGAACCCGCCATGTTCCACGACAGTTGTCGCGAATTCACTTAATTGCGGCTACATTGATGCAAAAAATTAGGCGATTCTCCCTTTTAGAAACTGACGACAGACCTGAAACATGAAAAAAAAAAAAATGATTGAAACAACACATTTTTTCCTCGGTAAAATGAATTATTGCTCAGAAGCTGGATGAGAAAAAATTCCTTCTTACCTAAATTACGCTTTAACTGAGTCAAATAGTCGATTTCTTATATTTTCTTCTTCAATTGAGGGGAATTTCCCTACTTTCCGCACGGTGGATTTTTTTAAAATTTTAATAGGTCTTTTATATTGTTTACCAAACACACTGCATTAATGAATTGGGTGAGAAAAAATTCCTTCTTACCTAAATTACGCTTTAACTGAGTCAAATTGACGATTTCTTATATTTTTTCTTCAATTGGGGGTATTTCCCTACTTTCCGCACGGTGGATTTTTTTAAAATTTCATTATATATTTTATATTTGTCCACCAAGCACACTGCATTAATGAATTGGATGAGAAAAAATTCCTTCTTACCTAAATTACGCTTTAACTGAGTCAAATTGACGATTTCTTATATTTTTTTCTTCAATTGGGGGTATTTCCCTACTTTCCGCACGGTGGATTTTTTTAAAATTT